CACTCAAAAATTCTCAATGAAAATCAATTGCTTGTTAGTAATGACATCGTTGCAGAACCTATTTCTGTTGTGCCCACAGAAATTGAGGGTATACAAAAGACGGTAACGGGCGGTGAGAAAGAGGAGGGGCTGCTAGCGTCTTCTGAACCGCTGCAGGTAGAGGATGCACAACAGGTTGAGTCTGTACAAGCAGCGTTGCCGAATTTGGAGCAAGCCCCAGCAGAACCTTTGGAGCCTGCTACTAAGGTAAAAGAGGCGATGGATTTGGCCCAATCCCCACTTGAGGATAATAAGCAACACAGTGAAAGTTTGCTAAAAGTAGTTTTAGAGGCGGATCTAACCTCCCAAGTTTCTGATAGTGTGCAGGCGATCACAACGGAAGAGCCCGTTCAGTTGGCCAAACAGCCTTTGCAGGAAAGTTCTGCGCCTGAGTTGCCAGAAAGAAAGGGGGGTGCATTCCCAGAAAATCGATTAACCGCGGTTGAAAAGGCACCTGCATCAAAAAAACCTGCGGTGGAGGTGTTGTCTGCGACCTTGTCGAGCAAAACCCCTGACCCAGCTGAATTAGCCAGCTTGCAAGAAAAAGCACAGGCACAAGTGCAGCGTAAGCGCCAAGCGGCTGAAGCTGAGGCAGCTGCCATTCGTGCGATGATGAATAATCGTGCACCTAAGCCCAAAAAAGAAGTACCCAAAGCAACGCCAGCTACCGTGGCTACGCCTTTAGCGTCTACTTCTGCTCCGTCGGCTTCTAAAACGGCTGAAAAGAAAGCGGATAAAACTACAGAAGCAGCCACGGCTGCGGATCCAAATAAACCCAAAGTCAAGGGTCAAAAGGCAGACCAAAATATCTGGGGCAATGAAGGACAGAAAAAACGTGGGCTTAAGTTACGAGGTGATGCCAGTGGCGGTAGCGATGGTTGGCGGGGTCCAAAGGGGCGTAACAAACATCATGCCCAAGCTCATGCCAATCAATTTAGTGCACCGACTGAGCCTGTGATTAAAGAAGTGCATGTGCCTGAAACCATTTCTGTAGCCGATTTAGCTCATAAAATGGCAGTAAAGGCCTCAGAGGTAGTTAAAACGCTGATGAAACTCGGGCAAATGGTGACGATTAACCAAGTCCTTGACCAAGATACGGCCCTTATTGTGGTAGAGGAAATGGGGCATACGGCAATAGCGGCCAAACTCGACGATCCAGAAACGTTCTTAGACGAAACGGATCATGCGAGCTTTGAAATTAAATCGCGTCCTCCTGTTGTGACGGTGATGGGGCATGTGGATCATGGGAAAACCTCTTTACTAGACTATATCCGACGGACCAAAGTAGCTTCAGGCGAGGCCGGTGGCATCACCCAACATATTGGGGCTTACCATGTTGATACAGGGCATGGTGTGGTTACATTCCTAGATACGCCCGGTCATGAAGCCTTTACAGCGATGCGTGCGCGTGGAGCAAAAGCGACCGATGTGGTGATTTTGGTGGTGGCAGCAGATGATGGCGTTATGCCCCAAACTAAGGAGGCGATCGCGCATGCCCGTTCGGCCGGTGTGCCTATTGTCGTTGCGGTCAATAAAATTGATAAATCGGAAGCCAATCCTGAGCGGGTCAAACAGGAATTAGTGGCCGAAGAGGTTGTTCCCGAAGAGTATGGGGGGGATGTGCCTTTTATTCATGTTTCGGCAAAAACAGGTGAGGGTATTGATAGCCTACTTGAAAATGTTTTGCTGCAAGCAGAAGTTTTAGAATTAACAGCTCGTGATGAAGGACCGGCTCATGGTTTAGTGATTGAAGCGAAGCTTGACAAAGGTAAGGGGCCGGTTACAACAGTTTTGGTGCAAGAAGGATTGTTAGCACGAGGGGATATGGTATTGATTGGAAGCCATTTTGGACGCATACGGGCGATGCTCGATGAGAATGGTGTGCCGATTAAAGATGCGGGTCCTTCTATCCCAGTGGAAATACAAGGTTTATCTGGTGTGCCCCATGCGGGAGATGAAATGGTGGTGGTGCAAGATGAACGTAAGGCAAGGGAAATTGCCTTATTCCGTCAGGGTAAGTTCCGAGATGTCAGATTGGCAAAACAACAAGCGGCCAAATTGGAAAATCTCTTTGAGCAAATGGCAGAAGGGGAAATGCAATCCTTACCTTTAGTGATTAAAACTGATGTGCAGGGTTCACAAGAGGCGTTGATACATGCCTTAACCAAACTCTCAAACGAAGAAGTTAAAATCCAAATTGTTCATGCCGCCGTAGGGGGTATAACTGAAAGTGATGTTAACTTGGCTATTGCTTCTAAAGGGGTAATTATTGGTTTTAATGTCCGAGCAGAAGCCCAAGCCCGAAAAATGGCAGAATCCGAAGGGGTGGATGTCCGTTATTACAATATTATTTACGATGCGGTAGACGATATTAAGGCGGCCATGAGTGGCATGTTAGCTCCTGAGAAGAAAGAAGAAATCATCGGCTTAGTCGAAATCAGACAAGTTTTCCGTGTTTCTAAGGTCGGGTCGATTGGGGGTTGTATGGTTCTTGATGGTATGATTAAACGCGGTGCAAGTGTGCGCTTGTTGCGCAAGAATGTGGTTGTTTATACTGGTGAAATCGATACCTTAAAACGCTTTAAAGATGATGTTCGGGAAGTCAAACAGGGTTTTGAATGTGGCTTGTCACTCAAAGGATATAATGAGATTGAAGAGGGGGATCAACTCGAAGTGTTTGAGATGAAAGAGGTTTCTAGAGTGATTTGATGGATGTGGAACAAGTGTATTGTCCCCGTTAGGCCGTGCTTTTATGCAAGGGTAGGGGGGGTAACAAAAATGGTGTGTTGAGGTTGGGTTATTTGGTGTGACGAAAAAATCCCGATGTGCCTACAAAGTTGGTGTATTGGGGTGAAAAGTTTTAATCTATGACAAGTCGTATGAAGAAAAAAACGCCGCCGAAAAGTGGCAGTCGAGAGTTTCGTGTTGCGGATCAGATTCAAAAGGATTTATCTGAGATGATTGCACGTGAAATTGATATAGGCCAATATGGCCTCATTACGATACAAAGCATCGATCTCACACCAGATTTTTCGGTCGCAAAAGTTTACTACACCGTTTTAGGAGCCCAGCCGGCACACACACAACAGATCTTAGAGCGCAAAGCAGGGTTTTTTCACTCACAATTGTTTAGGTTATTGCATATTCATACTGTGCCGAGTTTAAAGTTCGTTCATGACGTGACAACGGAGAGGGCTTTTGAAATGGATGCACTCATAAAGCGGGCGGTTAGCCAGCAGTCTAAAGATTGATTTTAATATAATCCATTCATGACAACAGGCGGCGTCTATCAATATTCGTTTTTTTAATATGTTACACAAAACGACGTCCAATGCAAGGCAATTCGTAAAAGTTAGGGGGCTGACAAAGTGGATATCCTATTTAAAATTTATAAATGAAAATAGAGCCCTGTGTCATCACATAAGAATTTCTTGAAGCAAAATGGCTATGAATAGTGAAGTAGGACAGGGGGCGTAAAAGTGCTAAGGGGGATCTTGATAGCCATAAAATTGCCCCAATCTGGGAGATGTTGTCCCCATTTCTATTATTTCTATTCACAAAGTGCCTCACACAATGGTGAGCTGGCATGGTTAACGCAAGATAGGAAGAAAATGACAAAGTGTGTTCAGCAGTCTAGCGGTTTATAATGTTTATATGGTTTATATAGTCTATTTTGAATGAGCATCAGCTCAGCGCAGGATGGGGCGTTTAATGGTGTTGAGTGAATAGGCAACAATAACCCGCTAGTCTACTCCCCCTACAGTGGGCAGGTATTTGAGAAATTTTTGTTTTATTTGTATTAAAAAGTGATTGATAAAATGCAGGAAAATAGAGAAGTTATGAGTGAAGAAGCAGAAAACCTCAGCATCCCAAGCGAGGGCCTTCCCGAAACGGAAGCGTTAGATGGGCAACCACAGGAAAATGCCAATCAAGAAATTGAAGCCTTACAGTCCAAAGTAACGGAATATTACGATGCGCTGCTCCGTGCTAAAGCCGAGGCTGACAATGCCTATAAACGTCATCTCGATGAGGTAGCTAAGGCGCGTAAATTTGCGATTGAACGTTTTGCCGAAGGCTTGTTGCCCGTAGCGGACAGTTTGCATGCCGCACTTTCGGACCAAACGGCGGATTTAAACAAAGTTAGAGAGGGGGTTGAGTTAACGTTAAAACAGTTAGCGCAAGCACTCGAAAAAGGTCAAGTCATGGAGTTAAGCCCTTTGGGTGAAAAGTTTGATCCTAATTTGCACCAAGCTATTGGAATGGTTCCCGTTCAAAACGAAGGGCAGTCAGGTTCGATAGCCCAAGTTTTGCAGCGCGGTTATACCATCGCTGATCGGGTGCTTAGACCTGCTTTGGTAATGGTTTATCAATAAAATCAGTATCCATTGTAAGTCAATGGTAAGTCAATAAGTCAATGGGGTCACCCATTAGCGTTTCCATGTCAATAGGCCGAACACTTGGCGAGACTGTAAAATGAACTGTGTAACTGGTTAAAATAAGTTAATCAGAAAAGGAGTTCGAAATGGACGTTAAGCCAGAGATT